TTTTAATTTGGGGTAATTAATCATGATTAATTAGGGTAATTAATCATTCAATGATTAATTACCTTTTGGTTTATATTTTGCGGGAATTGAAAGGTGTGATGTTCGTGATGTGTGTGGGTGTTGTAAGTGACATTTGGAGGTTAAAATAAATTTTTAAAATTAATGTTTGAAAGTGCGGTAAAATAAAAGAGAGCCAAAAGAGAAAGTGCGGTAAAATAAAAGATAGACATAAAAATGTACTTAATCCTCTGGTTGAAGAGGGAATATCAAAGTTGATTGAGAAATGATTGATTGAGAAGTGATTAGGTACAGTGATAATTATGAGTGATTGATAAGTGATAAGTGTGATAAGTGTAAAGGCTAATATGAAAAATTTTAATGGGTAATATTTTTGGTAAATTATGAGTAACTATGAATAAAATTTTAAAATAAATAAATCCCTAAGCGGAATCGAACCTTCCCCGTTTTTACTATATGCGGGAACCTTATCCATTCGGACACAGAGGCGTACTCAAATTTAATCAAATTATCTGATAATGTATTTTTAATTAATTTATCTGTATATTTCCGGGGAAGGGGTGGGGGGAGTGTTTTGAAAAATTTAAAAGGAAAATATTTAAAATGAAAATTTTTAAAAATTAAATAAAAATAATTTTAATTAAATAAAAATTGTAATAAAAATTTTTTACAAAATTTCAAGAAAAAAATAAAATGATTTTAAAAAATGGCCGGAAGTACAAATGTAAGGGATTTATTTCAAAATGCCAAATTTAAAAATTGGCGGGAAATTCAAATTTAAAAATTTTTTATCAAAAAATTCAAAATGCCAAGAGTATAAATGTAATGGTATTTATTTCAAATTACCAAAATTTCAAAATTTAAAAATTGGCGGGAATTTCGAATTTAAAAATTAAAAATATATATAATTATTAAATAAAAAAATGGGGAAGAAAAATTTTTACAAAATTTTAACAAAAAATTAAAATGATTTTAAAAATGGCCGGAAGTACAAATTTAAGTGATAATTTCAAAATACCAAATTTCAAAATGTCAAAAACGACAAAATGCCAACCTTCAAAATACCAAATTTCAAAATGTCAAAAACGAAAAAATGCCAACTTTCAAATCTCTATTCAATAGATCTAATCTTGCATTAATATAAACTTATATCTACCTGTAATATATTAATAAAACTTAATTATTAATAAAAACTTAAACACCATTAATTAATTTAAATTGTCTATTTTACAATTTATTTCAAATCTGTCTAACATTAAATTTCTATTCTATAAATTTACTCAAGTTCAATAATATTTTCACTTATAAATTTTCGTTTATATAACTAAATATGGTTCATACTCCCTTTGACCCGCGAACAATCGGATATGACGATCATCATACAACAATCAGCCAAATAGGAGGAGGGACTGATGAAAATTATTATTATTTTCGTGGGCTCAACCCTTATCAGCGTGGATATGGAAGACAAACGGGTGGTGGAGTTGGAGATGTACTTAGAAATTTTTGGCGTTTCCTTTTACCTTATGCAAAACGCGCGGGAACAGCTGTAGCAAAAGAAGCTTTGGATACAGGTGGAAGAATTTTAGAAAGTGTGGGAAATCCAGAATATGACCAGGAAGCATATAAACCAAATTTTAAACAAACAGTGATTAGTGAAGGAAAACGTGGATTAGACAGATTACTTGAAAAGGGTGGAATGCCAAAACAATTTGGAACCGGATTGAAAACGAAGGATAGTATAAAAGGACTCAAAAGGAAACGTAGACCTCATTCAACATTTTCAAAAGAAAAAAGTCATCAAATAATTATTGGTAATAAACCATCTCATAGCTTAAAAAAGAAACGTCAAAAAATAGATACATTCGGTCTTTATTAAATAAAAATGTCTACTCATCAAAAAATTGATCGCGATTCTGGCAACGCAATAACAAATGCTTTATCATTTTTCGAAACTCCTCATACAAATGTTAGTATTAGCAACTCATCATTTATTGAATTACTCACACTTAACCCTGTAAATATCACTCCTTTTCATTTCAAAATTCACGCAAGCACAAATTATATTGATTTGTCCAAAACTTATGTTTTTACTGAACTTAGGATTAAGAAAGAAGACAAGGATGGGAAACTTGTTGACATAGGAAAAGATGATAATGTGGCGAGCGTGCAGCTCATAGGGCATACAATATGGAAAAATTGTCGCATGCATATTAATGGAACACAGGTTTTTGAAGGGAATTCCCTCATGGCTTACAAAAGTATTTTTGACTACGAACTAACCTACCCACAAAGTGTAAAGAACTCATACCTTTCTGTGGCAGGATATTATGATGATGGAGCGACACAAACATACCCAGGAGTTGATTCTAATGGATATGGAGTTAAATCAAGGAAAAGATTATTCTTAGACGAAGATGGAAATCCGCGTAGTGCACAATTTATGGCCAAATTGGATGTTGATATTTGTAATCAACCAAGATATTTAGTAAACCAATGTGAAGTTGATATTGAACTGCTACCAAATGAATCAAGTTTCCTACTTAGTGCTCCCTGGGACACAGCCCCAAAATACCATCTAGAAATTTTGGCATGTAAATTATATGTAAAGAAGATTGAGCTAATGGACAGTCTAGCCTTTGATATCGCGAAAAAACTTGAAATAAAACCCGCACGATACCCGTTAAGAAAAACATCTCTCAAATCTTTATTCATCAGTGAAAATAGAACAGAATTTAATGCTAATCTATGGATGGATCAGGTGCCTAGAAGAATTATATTGGGAATGGTTGATAATAAAGATTTTGTAGGACGGCAAAGAACAACACCTTTTTATTTTCAACATTTTAATTTGAGAGATATTTCCATAACTGCCGGGGGAGTAACTTTTCCAGCTGCCCCGTATTCTCTTGATTTTCCGAAAGGAAACTACGCTAGAATTTATCATGACATGCAAGAAGCAATTGGGTACGCGGGATCACTAGAAAGTAACGGTATATCCATGTTTCGGTATGCATATGCAGGATATTGTTTCTTTGTATTTAACCTCACAAATAGTCAGGAAGATAATGGGCCAGAGATGTTTGATTTAATAAAAAATGGTACAACTAGTATAAGGATGACCTTCAACGAACCGGTTCCAAGTGGTGGTATTGTGTTAGTAGCAATGGGTGAAATCGATTCGCTACTTATGTTAGATAGAAACAGAACTATTTCCACAGATATTTCAGTATAAATACCCCCAATTTTCCTCATTTTTTATTCCCCATTTCATTTAAAATGTTCCATATTACTATTAAAATTGAATTTAGCTTCATTTTTATTATTTTATTTTTCTTTTTGTATAAATTATCACTACAATATTCTATGACTAATGAAAATGATAATCTTGAATATAGAGAAAAATTAAGAGAACGTATAGGGTATTACGCTAACACTATTCCCCCTAAATCAAATAAAATTATTATTTACTCTACAACAGAATTCCCACTAATTCCTGAAGGAGTTCAAAATACCAGCGGACTAGCCTCTAATTTTAATCTTGAAACCTATATTAAAATTTTGAATTTTTCATCAATGGAGAATGTACAATTTCCTTCCCTTTGCAAGGAATTTCCACCATCAGGAACATCAATTTCTCAAATTCTTTACTGCGTTTTATTGATTATACTCTGGCTTTTATTGTTAGTTATAGCTTTAACTTATCAACTAAGAAAATTTATAAAAATTAAAAACAACAACAAAGACATTGAACTTGAAGAAATATAAAGAAAAATTTAAAATTTCCCTTTTATACAAAATGGACACTTTACAAATTGAGAAAATTTTATTAAACAACAGAATAACTAGAAAATATTTTATTGGATGCTTTGCCGCAGATAAAATCCCACAAGAAATTCAAAAATATCCTTGTTCAATGGTCGTCAACCTGGAAAAGTCTTCTCAAAGCGGATCACATTGGATTGCACTTTTCATAATAAACCCTGAGAAGATACTTATTTTTGATTCATTATTACTTCCAGAAATTCCTACTCTAATAAAAAATTTTATTTCCAAATATCCAATTCATTCAATTAATAATGTTCCCCTTCAAAACCCTCTCTTACCCACTTGTGGTCAACATTGTATCGCTTTCATTTATTTTATTTCTTCTGGATACACATATAAAAAATTCCTATCCCTATTATTAAATTATTCAAATCCAGATGAATTTGTTTTTACTTTTATTTTTAGAATGATAAAAAATATATAATAAAATTTTACAATTTTTTAAATAATATAGAGTTAATTAAAATCTTATCATTTTGTTAAACATTAGAGTAATAATTACAGTTCCGTGATCAAATTTCACAAGACTTCCATTCATCCATCTTAGTTCAATTTCAATCTCGTTAATCTCTCTAGGCAACACTGGTATAAACATTGGTTGATCATACACTCTTTCAACAACTCCGCCAGACCTATTCTCAACAGCCACAATTCTCAGTAATGAGCTGACTGAATTTCCCATAATTACAGTACCCGTTAACCCTTTAGAATAAACAGCAAAGCTTGTGAAACCTCCTTTAAGATCAATTCCATATTTTCCAATTTGTCCATTTACCAATGGTCCCGTGGGAAAGCCAAGAACATAACATAATTGCGAAGATATTGTTATATTACTAATCTCAGGATCATTAAAAACTACCCTAAAGCGATCGATGCTCTCCAAATATTCAAATTCAATGTCCGAATGTAAATCTTTTAGGTGAGATTCCTTTTCTTCAATCATAATAACTGTCTTTTCTTTAATCAGGTCATCAATATTTTGTTCATCCTCTTTCTCATGAAATATCTCCTCTGTTGGTATGATCTCTTCTGAGGAATCCAAATCTAAAACAGGGCTTCCTCTACTTCTCTCCTCCCAACTTTCTTCTTCTTCTTCAAAACTTTTTTCATCAGGTACTATATCTTTCTCGTCTTCATTTTGTGAGTCAAGTGGTATGGGTTCTCCATACTTATCTATTTTTCTTGCATGTTTTAATTTCTCCTTGCTTTCTTTCAGTTCTTTATCTTTTCTTTCATTTTCCTCTGACTCTCTGGCCTTGTCCTCCTCATACTCATGTCTGTCCTTGACAACTTCAACCATTTCATCTGTAATTTCGGGGGCAGGAATTGGTATAGGCTTGCCTTGATCATCTGCCTTTAGGGCATCTTCCAAATACTCGGGATGAGTTTTCTCTTCAATTTTTTGCATCTCCTTAATTTCATTTCTAGTTGGTGGAATTGGCAGCTCAAAATTTTTCCACTTTTTGTATGCCTCATGATGTATCGCTGTAAATCTATTTCTTCTGTATGTAGCTAATTTACTTAGCTGGTCAATCTCCTTGTTTAGTTTATTCTTTTCTTCTTCATCTTGTTCTTGTGAATGCACATCTCTTTTTTCTCGAAGTTGCCTGTGTAATTCTTGTAGATCACCTAAATTTTTCTTTAATGCTGCCCAATGATCTTGAGGATGGTCTTCAAAAAATTTTTGGACAAATTCTGAATGTGTATTAGTATTTTGCTGATGAAATTCATCTCTAGTAATTTTCAACTCTCTTTCAATTATTGCAGATTCCAATGCTTCCAAGTTTTTTCGCATACGCTTTATTGAAGTAATAAACCTTTGAATTTCTTCACCAGAGCGAACATTTTTACCACCCTCTTCCCTGCTTTCTTTAATTTTGTCTTCTAGTTCAATGTATCTTACTATTATATTTATCTCCATCTTTATTACTTCCTCGTGATAATCGTCTGGGTGTTGTTCAAAAAACTGATTTGCAATAAGTCGACCATCAATCCTATCTCTTTTATTAGCTTCCTCTGTTAAAAGACGAATTTCCTTCTTTTTACCTTCTGAAAGGGATTCTAGGTGATCAAGTTCTTGCTGAAATTCTTCCTTCTGTATATCATCCTTCTCATTAAGAACTTGTTTTGTTTTTTCCTCTACATTAACTTTATGATGCTCTAATTCTTGTTCATAATCGCGTATGGCTTCCCAGTAATTGTGCGGATACTGATTAAAAAATTCCTTTATCCATAATGGCACCCTATCTTCTTCACCTGCCTCTCTCTTTCTTCGTTTCCTAACTGGGTCCACCACTAAATTAATTTCGGGGTCAATAATAATTTCATCCTCTAAAGTATCAATTAATACATCACGTCTTTTTCTAGATTTTTTTTTATTGGATAATACAAGTTTGAGAAAGAAGCTGAGTCCATTGGGTGTTAACTGTGTTGTTTTGGGAATTCCAATTCTATGTGGCTTTTTGTTTTTGTAATTAATTTCCATCCATTGTTTAACGTCGGTGCCAATAGTTGCAGCCCATGACTGGGGGTATTGGATACTGTAGAGCCCACATACCCAGTTTCCACCTTGAAATTCTATTGGCTTAGGGAGATGTACGCGATATTTATTGGGTTTATTATCTGTATAATCACTAACATTGCTGGGAAGAACAACAAAGAATGTATTAGACATATTTATTTTTAATAATTACAAATTCAACAATAAAATGGAAATTGATTTATAAAATATAAAATTAATTCAAAAAATATAAAAATGATTTATGGGGAATGAAAAAAATGGTCTTTTATACAAATTGATTTTCATCTATCCAATAGGATTGGGGGTAATCAAAAAATTTTACAAAAAATTCTTTTCCTCCATCTTTTTTCTTTCTGCTTTTAATAATTTTCTCAATTCTGTAGCTAGTATTCTCATCTTTTCTTACTTTTGTCAGCTCCTCTGGGTAAAAGTATCCTTTGAATAATTCTCCATTATCGTCACGGACGCGGTATCTATTGGGATTAGCCTTCTTTTTAACAAGATCTATTTGAAGAATTTCATCACTGTAATTTGGTAGATAACCCTTTGAAAAAATATTTTTACTTCTACTCATACGCACATGATCATTTTCCTTGAATCTTGGTTTTTTTCTTGGTTTATTCTTGCCAATAGTTCCAAATACCATTTCTCTAATTTTCTTTGCATTGTTAAAACTTATATCAACTGGTCTTAACCCTCCTAATACCCTACACTTTGAATGATTTATTGCGTCTACTATTCTCGGTAATGCTTCTATCCATTTTAGTGTATGTTTCTCACTCATAAATCTGTACAATCTCTGTTTAATGTTCCGAATACATCTTTCAGCTAGAGATGCTTTAACTTCAGAAAAAGTTGCCGTGTATTTTTCAATATCTTTTTTCCTAAAAAAGTCCATAATTTCTTTGCTGCAAAATTCTGTTCCTTTGTCGCTAAATATTCGGTGGGGATTCATTTCCATTCTTGCCAATATTTGTTCAAATGCATCAATCATATCATTTGATTTTTTAGTGCGCACAGGTTCAGCGAAAACTCTTTTGCTTAAAACATCTATTGCCACAAGCGCATAATTCTTTCCATTATTTTGCCTTGACAGTTTTTGAAAATCTGCCAAGTCGCACTGAACATCTGTCATATATCCAGAAGGATATGTAATTGATCTTTTAAAATGTACGCGCCTAGGACGGTGAATTGTATAAGTTCTATGACCTTCTAAATATTCCTCAACATCCTTCTTTTTAATACTTGCATCTTTTTTTCTAGCCTCTGTCCATAGTTGGTTTACACCAGCAAACCCTGCCGGATTTGCTGGATCGTTGTAAAGTTTATCTAATATTATTTCCACTCTGCTGGAGCCCTCCATTTTGATTCAACTATTTCTTTGGATTCAGGTATTTTTCTTTTTTGTTTTGAATAAGTTCTTTTTGGGGTACAACTTTCTCTTGCCTTCTCTATCAATGGCCAAATTTTATTATCACTTTTCAATTTACTTTCTAAAACTGATGTCCCGGGCGGTGTCAGTTCTCCCCATCTCAATTTCCCAGCTATCCCAGTTCGAAGAATGCACTCTATGGATTTCTTTGCATTGCTTCCCATTATTTCTTTTCCTCCCTTTTTACTTAGAATCTTTCCATCATTGCTCACGTCATATTTATCAAGATTTTCCTGTTTCATATTTTCAAAAATTTCCTTCGTTTTTTCCTTTATAGTTGTGCTTTTTGGATCAGTTTTGCCCTTAATTTCCGGAGATTCCTCCTCGGCTGTGTGCATACTAAGATCATCTTCAGTATTTTCATTTATCGGGGACAATTTCGGTGTAACAATATTTTGTTTAAAAGCTTTTGGAGTGCTTTCGGTTACTTGACGACTTTCATTGGAGTTTGTCTGGAGTAGAGGAAGTAATTTTTTGATTTGATCTAACGCTGGATCTTCCATTTGTCGGACTGAAACATTCATCGGTCTCTCATTTTGATCTTTCAACATGTGTAAATAACGTCTTAATTCCTGATTATAATTTATATTTTTTAATTCTGTGTTGGCATTTTGATTTTTAATAGTCTCCAAATTTTCTCGTGTAAAATCCAAATTGATATTTCCAGTTTGTGGGGTGGGTTGAGTAATTAATCCTCGATATATATCTTCGGGAATTAATATAAATTTATTTGCCATTTTTATAAATTGCTTGTCAATGTTTTTGTTAATTCAATAATGATTGGGGTAAGGAGGGCAGGAAACAATCCTATTGGTAAACCGCTTCCTTGTTGTATTACTGTACGTCGGGCTCCTCCTTCTGTTTTTAGTCTGCTCACACGACGAACAAAATTAGCAAACGGTAAGAGACGATATTTTTGCCTTTTATTTAATTTAAATTGATCGCGTACAATATTAAAACAAATTTCAGTGAGAGATAGTAATTGATCTGTTGAAGCGTTTTTTAAAAGTTGTCTTCTTTTAGTTAATGAACGTGTTTTTGCGAGTTTTTTGAGAAATTGTAAATTGTCCTTGACAAGTTGACTAATATTTGTTGACATGATTCTAATTAGAGGAATTCTTGGGCAAAAATATAATTGGTAATGAATTATGGGATTCTGCTGGATCTTCCTTAAATATATTTGTTCTTAGTCTAAGATTTGGATCTGATGAAGGGTGTAAATCAATAAAAAGATATGAATAATTACTGGTGTTTGTAGCTTGTCGATATGCGTCTAGAAAATAATTTAATCTTCCTGGGAATAATTGTACTCCTAAATTTCGAACGGCCAATGCACTATTTGGTGCGCGAGTTAATACAATATACATTGAATTCTGGCGTGCGACTTTAAGTTTTTTCTCAAAGAGATTCTGGGTTATGAAAATTATGCCAAAATTAAGATGATGAGATTTCTTTGTGAAAAGTTCCGATAAATATTTTTCGTCAATTGATTACATTAAGTCATCAAGAATGACTAGTGAAGGTTGTTCTTGCTTCTTAATAAGATCCTCTGGGGGAACTCCGGAATATACTGAGACTCCGGCTCGCTGTAGTTCGGGAACTAAAGAATTATATTCGCCATAGCAATAAAGAATAGATTTTGGAACAGGGTCAATAAGTAGATCAGAATTAATAATTAACTTTCGTACAAATGTACTTTTACCAGTTGAACTTGGGCCGCTAATAATGCAACCAAATGGAAGTTTTAATTTTAAATCTTTATTAGAAAATAAATGATAATTCATTTTAAAAATATTTGTCGAAAAATAAAAATATAAAAATGATTAATTATTAAGAGTGGATTAATTATAAAATTAAAAAAAAATTTTATTAAAAAATTAAATAATTTTTTCTAATTTCTTTTCTTTATCATCTTTCTTTATATTTTCTTTTGTTTCTTCTATCCCTACTTGAGCTTTGCTATGTGAAAGCTTTGACAAAAATTCCTTGACAGTCATCTGGTCATATCCTTTGATAAAATTATTTTCATTCCACTTTGGTTCCTTATGAATAATATTAAAATTTTTTCCTTTTGATTTAACACGAAAAACACATTGTTGAGGAATTTCATAAATATGGTCAAACATTACAACTTTTTCTGATTTTAGGCGATTGCAATATAAGGTTACATCCTTCGGAGTAACAATAAAATCAATGTCCACATTTTCTCCCTTACAACTTTTACATTTCCCTGCCAAGTCAAACTCCACAAAACGCGCTGTTATGAGCCGAGGTGACGAGATTGTCACACCAGTAGAAGATACCGCAAATAAAACCTCAGGGAGCACTTTTTCCAAGAGCTGGCAATTATTTTCAATTACTGACATTTTTTAAATAATTTTAAAAATGAATTTAAATTTTGAATGGAAGTTTGATTCAAGGGAATTTTTCAGTAGTTATATCTTAAAATGGGCGTGGCTTCCGAAAAAGAGATTAGGATTTTACGAATTTAAAATTTTCTATGGTAAGTAATAATAAAGTAAATTCCAAAATTTTTTATTTCAAATTAAATTATTACATTTATTGAAATTAATATTAAAAATAAAAATGTTAAGAAAAAATATTTTTTGAAATTTTTAATCACTTTTTCAACTTTTCTATATTCTTCTCATCCCAGTCAGCAACAAAATCCTTGAATTGCATATTTAATTTTGCGCAGCTTTCACAAATTTCAAAGCAAATTCCAATATTTCCATTTTCCTTCTGAGTGAATTTATTCTTATCATTATAAAGCGCATTGGCACATTTTTTGCAGATTCTAATTTCAATTCTTGGCGTATCTTTCATGCGCATCAATTTCCATAACACACGCGGATTTATGCTGTTATTCTTCTCAATTTTCCCATTATTTAATTTTGTGGCAGGGGATTTTGCCTTATGCGTTGTTTCCTTTTCCACCCAGTCTCCACTTCAATTATCTCTTCTTCCTCCTCAATATTTAACTCATTAACCAATTCCATTTTTGAAATTTTTTCTTTTTTTAACCCGCTCATTTTTATTTATTTTTAAATATTATTTTTAATGAATGAAAAAATGAATGAAAAGTTGGGAAATCTATTACTTATATACTCTGCTAAGCTCCGCCCCTTCTTCCAAGATTTCGTAATATTTGTAATTTTCAAAGAAAAATTTTCGTATAAAAGGGAAAATTTCTTTAATCTTAAAAGTTTATAAAGTCATTTAATCATTTACTTAACATTATAAATTAATCAATAAAAATGAATTCGATTTTGGAGGATATTTCTAAAAAATTGAACTGCCCAAGTTATATGGTGAGATATAGACTTATGTATCAAGAAAATGCCGATTTGATTGCAAAATTTATAAAAGAGAAAGGAGAGCTAGAGTCAAATTATTATGATAGGAATGGAATGAAAAGAAAAATTAGGTGTGATGGAATTACAACATCAGGAGCTCATTTAGTCAAAGCCTTCGGCAATTTAGGTTATCCATTTAATATATCGATTGCGGCATATTTCTTTGCTCATCACAAATTAAAGCTCAAGTACCCATTTCATCAATGTGTTATTGAAAGAACATGTACAAAGAATGGAATTTGCGAAAGATACTACCCTCTTGAGCTTTTATGTTTTACTCCTACATCACCACCGTCAACAATAAGCGGTTTAACATTTAAAGCACGGCGTACGCATGCAACTTCGTCAACCTCAACAATTAGTCTCAATAGTGTTCAAATATCTGACGAAAGCTTACCATCTATACCGACTTCTGGGAAATCTAGACCAGGAATATTGTGGATTGAAAAAGAAGGTAAACCCAACCAATGGGAAAAACGCAATATTATGATTAATTAATTTGATAATTTCATTTAAATATTTATTAAATAATTATAATTTACATTAAAATATTGATTGTTAAAATTTTTACAAATTTTTGAAAAAATCTATAATATTTGAAAATGGAGGTTCATATAAAAATCGCCATCTTGAATACATTAAGTAATCTGTTCTATTATGTTTTCCAAATTTGAACTTTTTGTCGTAAAGGTCCCAACGTAGAATCCAACGCCCCATATTTTTTATTTCAACTTGTCTGGCTAAGTCTTTCTTTTTCGGGTAATAGACATCTTTTATAAACCATATTTTTCCGACATCAGTCTTATTCAGTGATTTATCACTCGATTTATTGTGTGTTTGAAGCTCTCCCAAATTATTTACTCCTATTGGTGGTGGTGTCCTCCGCCATATTGGAATTGGTGTCCTTCGCCATATTGGTAGTGGCGTCCACCGAAATAATGTTGTCACTAATTCTTCTCTCTTCACTGATTTGGCGTCACAGTTGGCAGCCAGTAAAGACATTATATTTATTAATATGATCAAAAACTTTAACATTGGACCAATAATTTTCTTGTTGCAGTTATGTAGCAAAGAAGTGTAATAGGTTCTACAAATTTTATATTTATGAAAATAATAAATTAATTTTTAAAAAATGTTAAATTCTATTTTAATAATAATAATCTAGTTAACTTTTAATTGTTAATAAGAAAATTTTAAAAATTTTATCCAACCGTGTGTGTGTGTGTGTGTGTGTGTGCGTGTGTATAGATACATGAATATATTTATCATATGGGCAACTTATACTTACACCTATCAATAGGAAATTTTTATATTTTGGACAATTTTACTTAAATTATTATTGTTTCTCTTAATTTTTATGAAATTTTATCTTCTAAAGCTTAACTTTACATGAATTGTATCTTGTAATGCTTAATTTTGCATTTTTACCCCCAAAATCTACATCTTCTATGCCTTAAATTTACATGAATTGTATCTTCTTAGCCTTAATTTTTCATAAATTGTATCTTCTTTATCTTAAAATTTTATCAATTTAGCTTCCGAACTTAATGTTAACAATAATTTTCTTATACCCTAAACCTTGATTAACTTCTTAATATAATAATTTATCAACAAAAGATAAATAATAAATATAATGAACAAAAATAAAGTGATGTGAAAATAAATTACAGCATTTGAAATCAAAAAAATTATTTTTGTCCAAAATGTACAATTTTGAGGTCATTAGAAACTATTCCTTTTTGTATTATTGGTCTAAATATTTTTTTCATCTTAGTTGAATAAACTGTACCATCTTTCACGTTCCGCCGTATAAAGTTTGGATTTTCAATCATAATTGTTCCCTTATCCCGGCCGTCATCTTTCTCATTATCGTCCTCTCTATTTGAATAATAAAGTACACTCTCTTTGAAACTGTCAAAATGTAAGAGCTTGCAGACATCAGCCGTTAAGGTGATTCCACGTACTTTCAGAACACTAATAATTTTGGCATTTTTGCTGCTTTCCATTCTCAGTGCGTAGGCTTTGCACGCACCTCCAACATATTCTTTTATTTCAGATCCTGCATATTCCCTCGCTAAATCTCCTAAATGAGGCCCTGTTTGAAGAGGACATTCCATGTCCTTTGGATGAGAAAATAGTATACTGTCTGTATCTCCATACAGAATGTTGCAACCTTTTGATTTTGCTACCTTTTGCATTGCCTTCAATAGTTTTATTCTTGCTGCCGATGTTGTCCATAATGATACCACCATGTTTGATGTATCATGTTCAATAATAAATTCTTCTTTCTGCTTGTAAGTTAGTAAAATAGTTTCTTCAGTTAAATTATCGATAGATTGGATCTCAATTGAGTTATTTTTGTCATATTCTATAAGTTCAGTTGGTGAATCGATGACTACACTTCTTGATTGGCCATTCCTGAGACTGAACCTTCCCCATAGCGAATTAAGCATTAATTTTGATATGTAGCGCATAGCCTGATCTGGAATCATCTTTTCTCTTTCAAGTTCAATTCCAAATTTGTCTTTACATTCTTTTATAAATTTATCCTCACTTTCTCTTCCTTCTATTCCATCGGGAAAACCACTCGCATGAATTTTCAATGCCATAAACTCGGCCACATAATTTTTAAATAAATTTTCATCCCATTTTTCATAATGAAGCGCCCTATAAAATTTTGTAACTGTGTAACCAACATTTAATGCTTCTTCTAGCTCTATTGAAGTACATGTTGAAACCCATCCCCTCTCATCATCATTGTGCGGGCAGTGGTATTCTTTGATGTTTGCTCCATTCGGATAGGCAAGTGCGCATTTTCTGCAAAGAGGAAAAAGTAGTCTTTCATCAAATTTAACTGGAATAACAGGTACATCCAATTGCGATGGCGGTACTAAAAATACTTTCAAAATTCCTTTGAATGGAATTTGTTCTCCACTCTTCCAATTAACATTTTGTTCAGTCAAAGGTACTACATGAATTTTCGGATGTCCAACAGGGAATGATGTTGTGGCAATTGTTGATGGGTAGAGAGAATTAAAATCTAAATAAGTAATTTTATGTTGTACTTTATCTGCATCAAAGTACATTTGTAATGGTCCTGTTCTTCCACCAAAATAGCAATCTCTGATTTTTATAGGACCTCTGTCATGATAATTTGCAAATGATTTTCGCATATATTTGTTGCGTCGAAGCATCTTATGTATATCACATTCCCATATAATATCAACATTTTTTATATATTTTCGTAAAATTGCCAAGCGATTTCCATCACCTTCACGTATTTCTCCCACAGTTTTTCCATTTGGTAAAATTTTGTGCAAATCATTTCCAAAACATTTTTGGCATGCGTGCCAAACACATCCATTTACTTCAATTGCTCTATCTTCTTCCTTTATATATCCATCTACCTTGTATCTTCCAGCTACCACATGTTCTCCACCTTCTGAATGTGCACATTGGATTTTAACTCCTCGCGTATCTTCGTACCATTGTAAATATTTCAGTGCAAGTTCACTTTGATTATCACAGTTTTCATATCCTTTTTCAGGGACAATTGCCAAATGTTCAGGTTTCAGATGATTAAGTCGAAAATGTTTCATGCAGGCTGATGCTATAGTCATTGCATCTCGTAATATATCAATTCCTTCTTGGGATGCTTGAGGTTGTGTGTTTTTCCTTTTGCTAATTTCCATAAATTTTTTTCTGAAAGCAATCAGTGCTTCTGTTAGTATCTGCACATCGTTTGTGCAATATTCGGCCAATGCTTCGTCCAAACAAAAATGCTGACTTTTTTCTTCTTCATACCATTTATCAAATTCATTCTGTTTTTCGGGCCGCATTCCTTCATATAAATAATCAGATTTTGGAGGTAGTTGCTGTAGTGTTCTCCCATAATTTTCAGACTTGTTTGCCAAATGTGGAAAAAATTGTTTTTCAGTTACTTGCAGTCCAAATGCTCCAATCAGTTTCCCAAAGGCGACTGGACATAGATTATATGAGTCTCGAAAAACGACCTCATTGCATTTATTGTTGCGCGGAATTTTTAATTCATAAAGCTTATTACCTCGACGAATCATTGACGGTACAACTCCTTTCAAGTATATTTCCCTGAATACCATAACCATATCATAACGCCCTCCGTTGTGTGAAAATGCCATTGTTGTATATTGAGAATTGAGTTCAAAAAGAATCCATTGGATGAAGAATTTAAGCGGGTTTTCTGTGACAATTTGTTTATCGACTTTTGTTTGATTAAATGGACGATGTGAAAATGTTATTGATCGATTGTTTCCACAGATTGTGCAACTGTTTCCATTTTGTCTCAGAGGTGAGCGCCATATTTTTTCATCTTCCATGCATTTTGTACATGTTACTGTGGCGGCAATGAAATTAACTTTGTGGAGCCGTCTTTCTTCATTATCATTCTTTATCACTTCATTTTGTGTTGCTTCAAAATCGAAAGTTACCAGGCGATAATCAACTCCTTTTTTCAGTTCTAACGGGCGAATAAAGCAACCTCTATCAATACTATGATATTGCCGACAAATTTTACACCATTTTTGTCC